TAAAGGTGTGCTAGGACTCTTTCACATCCAGCATGGTCGAGTCTGCAGGAACCATCATTTTGTGAGGTTGATGTGAAACTGCCCATGGACATTCCTTTCACCAATGTGCTGCAGTCATGATGTGAAGACTGTCTCACCACGAACAAGGTGCAATATTTTGCTTTGTGTCAAAGGGCTATGGAAATCACATCATATGCTGCAAGTGTTGACACCACAATGTAAAGGCACCACAGGAACACCAAGAATAAACCTGTCATGTGTTTTGATGTCGCTGGGCCACCAAGCTCTCCTTTAAAAATCTGCAAACATCAAAAGCTGTGATTACTAAAAAGTAAATGGCCTGCCTGGACCAAATCCTAAACATATCTACAATCACACATCTCAACTAAAGGATTTTAATCACAAATAAGCTTGATTTGGTGCTAAACAAAATTTAATGAAAATTGAACAAAATTTGATGATTAAATTTCTACATGTGACCCTTCTTAAGAACTCCAATTTTAAAGAAACCAGATACAAAGTGCCTAAAAAAAGACCAATATCAACAAATGGTAATATCTAAATTTCAAGACTTCATGAACTGCAATTTTTAATAGTTTTGTACTTGTATGTTCAATTAGTTTGCAATATCTGCTTGTCATGACTGTTTTTATGTATATTTTGCCCAACCTATTTCTTTTTCAACTCTGTTTCATTGAAAGGGGAGATGTCTGAAGCAAGTTGCTCTAGTGTGGGAGGAAAATCCTGACTGTAACAGTGATAACTTGCATAATCATATCTATAACAAAATTTTTGATCGTGATTGGTTCTCCATGCGCCTAATTGTCACGTAATCGGCATGTGATCATATGGGTGTCCAATTACAGGTATTCAATTTGAACTTTTTGTAACTGGATACCTATGCCATTTGCACATCAATTACACGCACTTTAACAGCCAATCCTTCTTAATGTTTCCTACAGTTTTTAGAACTTAAATGAAATATGCTACAAAGATTTTCGCTCAAAAAAGTTCTCAAAAGACATGTTAATTCCGAAATTAATTTTGTCAGAGAGTGAGATAAATTATTTTGCATTTGTCCAATTTCGAAATTACTTGTGCGACTACTCCCTGAATTCAAAGTACTGCACTCGGTCCTATTACTATCATACTTAACATGTTACTTACCAGTCTTCGTGCAATGAGGGTAAAAATACAGATCAGTCCAAAGGTTGTGAAGACCACTACCGAGAAAGTCAGATTTCCGC